CTGTGAGTTTAGTCTGAACTTTAAAAGAACTGATCAAGGTGCTGAACTCTGTTGCTAAAATACCACCTGCCAGGGGAACCACAAAGTGTCACTGATTAGAAGGAAAGTACTTTACTTTCTGACTTAAACTTATTCCCCACCGCAAAAAAAGAACAAACCCACACCATATAAGTGAATCTTTTGGTTCCAAAATTTGGCCACTCTGTGATCAACTATGTGGCTTTATGTAGCACAACAAAGAGATAAACTTTAAAGCTGGCATTACAGTATAGATTAGAGAAGGGTGACTTTTGACAGTAAGGGGCTTTTTAGAACTAAAAAAAGTGAGAACTCAAATGAGCAGGCAACAGTCACCACTGTTTTCTACCATTGCAGTTATATTTTGCTGAGGTTTAAAATAAGCAGGAACTTTGTGGCACTTACATTTCAAAGAAACATTATATAATGCCGTAAAATGTGGCATACAAATTGCCTGAATTTTTACTCTCTTTCCACTGGCCTAAATCCAACACCACAGTAGTACCTGACCACTGGCATGATGATGGGACCCAACTACTAGTGTAAGGCCACTGTAGGGGATTGCCAAGAAAGCACTGCCCTTTTCCAGACCCATTGAGGGAAGTAGAACCCTTCTGACAGTGGAGCCACATCATGGCTGCAGTACACAAGGAAATTTCCCCTTACAACCCAAGCCTTACTTTCCAGTTTGCTTTCTTGAGTACACAGGTCTTGTTACCAGTACAAGGGCTACAGCAAAGACAGAAAAGAAAGGAAGCTGCTGAATAATACCATAACACAATGTCAACTTAAACGGAAGAGCATAAAAACCAAATAGGGGCTGGTGAGGTTTCCTCCCAGTTTTCCATATCCACCTCTACATTTCCATAATAACATAAATCTGAGCAGCTTACCAAAAAAAGGTCATTGTTTTTGGAGCAGGGTCAGATTTTGTAAATTAAATATTGTGTTCACATTTTCTCAGTAGTTAAGCTTTAGCAAACACTAAAGGGCATCCATATGGGGTTGTTTAATGACAAGGATGATGCCACAATACCAGTGAAAGAGACTGAGGATCATTTGTTTGCTCTGCCTTTTTGTTTTAGTCCCATCCTGTAAAATAGAGACTTTTGTGTATTCTGCCATCCTTAGAGGAGTGTTGTGAAAAGGCAGATGTTAAAAGAATAAAAGTTGTTCAGATACTGTGGAAATGGAAGTTCATGCATGTCAGCTTGGTTGTGACCGGGAGTAAAAAGTGTAGCCTAAAGCCTAAAGAATAGAAACAAGATGATTATCAGACTCTCTTATCACTTCTCTCAGTTAAAATACCATGAGCTAACATGTTCCAGCAAAATTGTTTTACACTTCTCATCAAAAGAGGCAGCTTTTCTTTCTTCACTTCTTTTCACTCTTAGTGGAATACTTCTTTTTTCAACAACAGCAGTTCCATTTTTCCCCCTCTGGAAACAAGTTGGAACAGGTTCATGAACTAGTGTGTCTATGTGTGTGAGAGAGAAGGCCAGGGAGAAAAATCCCCCTCTCCAGATAAACTGTTCATGTTTGGAAGATGTGTCCCCAGTGTAATAACTGAAGCCAAGTTGTTCATATTTATTTACATGAGCCCACAGAATGAATGCTTAGTATGCTATGTTAGTTGTGAAGAATGCTTCACACTTTTAAACGAGATTGTACACTCAAAGATATAATAACAAACATTTGCAATGTGTATGAAATAGCAGTCATACAGCTTAAAGTCATGTATGTGCAGATGAGCAAGAAATTTAGTTTAAAAGTAGCTCTCCCCAATGTACTGCCTCCCAGATATTTTAGACTACAGGTCCCATTGTCCCTCACTCTTTACCATGGTGATGAAGGCAGTGGAAGTTGGTTGCATCTATGGGGGGTTGCAGACTGCCAAAAATAGTGCAAATTGAGTCCACTTTTAGGGTTAGGGTTAGCGCTAGGGAATCATGGGAATTGTTTTGTTTTTTTCTGAGACATTGAGCCTTCTTTGTCAGAGAGCTCTGGTGCCACAATAAAATACAGTTCCCATGATTCCCTAACCCTAAACCTAACCCTAAAAGTGGACTCAATTTGCACTATTTCTGGTAGTGAATCCAGACTTTACAAGAACTATCCAAGATCCAAAACACACTGCAGAAATAATCCAGTTTGAGACCACTTTAACTGCCCTGGCTCAGTGCTTCGGAATCCAGGGAACTGTAATTTATTGCAACACAAGAGCTCTCTGACAGAGAAGGTGAAATATCTCACAAATCACTACAGTTCCCAGAATTCCCTAGTACTTAGCCAGGGCAGTCGAAGCAGTGTATTTTGGACACAACCTGCCCTATTTCAAACACTTTGAACAGCTCTTTTAAAGTTTGACCTAAAACTCAGAATAAGTTTTCCATCACACTGACACGGAAACCATCCATTGCAGCTAGTTGGGAGTTGTAGTCCAAAACACCTGGTGACTACTCTAAAGAATGATCTGAGCGTGAGTTTTGTTTTGTTCTATTTTGGTAAGACAATGGCTCACTTGAAAGTTGAGTTTGGTTTTAATACTTACTGCATGTGCTATGAATCTTAAAAGTAGCAGGATGTGAATATGTGCTTTGGTCAGACCTAATCTAGTCCATTTTTGGGCATCACAGTTCAAGAAGGATGTTGAATAGCTGAAAAGTGCCCACAAGAGGGAGACCAAGGGCTCCTTCCCACTTACATTTAAACCAGTTTGCACTTCGACATCACTCCATGTCAGTGAATCAGTTCCAAAAGTTCTGTCATTCCCACTATGAAAGCACATACCCTTATAATCGCTTCTTTTTTGGCAGGATTGTCATTCCCACTAGTTTCCACCACTTCAAAATGCATGTCAATCATCGGCGCTTCATCGGTGACCAAGTGGCAGCAACACAGTGAAGATGGGGCCATTCCAGGTGCTGAGTGGAATGATTTTAGCAACTGAGGGCCTTTGCAGACTGCCAGAAATAGTGCAAATTGA